TAGCTTTCATAATTTAGGAAAAGGCGGCACTGAAATTAGTCAGCGCTAACTCGTCCTTATCTTGTAGCTAATTTGGCGTCTTTTCAAGGAACTAGTATACGCGGTGATATGAATATTCTATACCAAGTTACCTGTCCATCTTATGAATCTTAATTAAAAAGATAACATAAAATACTCAAAATACACTATCTGGGAAAGTAATCATCCGCTTACGCCCTAATTCTGCACTTTGTTTTTATGCGTTTTGTGCTGGGCAACAGCAGTACAAAACGCATATTGTCAGGGGTTGTCTGTGTGTGTTTGTGTGTTTGTATGTATGTATGTATGTGTGTGTGTGTGTGTCCGCAGCAACTTGTCCGCAACTTTCAACTCGGGAACCACAAAAGCTAGGAAAGCGCTGAATAGGGTAACGTTTCCCACCCACGTGTGACCCCACAAATTTAAATTCAGCTTCCCCGTACCCACGGGTAACGTGTACGGCCGGACGTTCCCCACCCATGTGTGACCCCGCAAATTTAAATTCAGCTTCCCCGTACCCGCGGGTAAGACGTTCCCCACTCACGTGTGACCCTTCAAATTTAAATTCAGCTTCCCGGTACCCACGGGTAACACGTGTTCCCCACAAACATGTGACCCCGCAAATTTCAATTCAGCCTTCCCGCACCCGCGGGTTACATGTACGGCCCCGCAAAAGTTTGGGTGGATAAAACTGTTATCATAGGAACTGCGGTAGTTAGAAGAATGAAATTTTGTGGACATGTCCCTGCCCACATGCGACCCAGAAAATTTAAATTCAGCTTTCCCTTGCCCGCGGGTAACATGTCGTAAAAGTTTTGGCGAGTAAAATTATTGTCACGGAAACACGGAAGCTAGAAGGCTGAAATTTTGTGGGCATGTCCCTGTCCACTGCGACCCAGAAAATTTAAATTGAGCCTTCTCCTACCCGTGGGTAACAAGAACGGCCCCGTGAAAAGTTTAACGGGCAAATCAATAATTCGACAGCCACATCTAGGAAGCTAAAATTTTACAGGAATGGCCTCCTGCCCACGTACGACCTTGCAAATTCAAATTCAGCATTCCCACGCTCTCGCGAATCACCTACCGCTCTGTGAAAATTTTGGTGGGTAGATTATTATCTTGGGAAACACAGAATCTAAGATTTTTTCTTGCCCAAACGCAACTCCGCAAAATTTTCAACGTCACTGTGGAAGAATTGGCAAGAAAAATCATTATCTCTGGAGTCAGAAATGCTGGGAGACAAAAAATTTCAGGAGAATGTTTCCTGCCTAAGCAGGGATATCATAAACTCGAATCCAGTTCCTAAGTATGCCGAGGTCTCACGTACGACAAGTGAAAGCCAGAAAATTAGGAGATTGGAACTTTGAAAGGATATTCACCCATCGAGATCTTAAATTCAGGTCTCACGTGCCAGTCCCATGAAATTCTTAACTATTTTTCAGCGTTTCAACTACTTTTACGCAGATTAAGGTACAAAGCAGTGGAAATCATTAACGAACAATCGTCCAGTTGATGAAGGTACATAAAACGAATGATTGCGCCGCCTATTCTGGTGCGCGCTACTATTTATTTATTTTAAAACCAAGACTGTCCAGGCATAAGGATAAGTAATCCAGGTGAATGATGTAACTCACATGCCAAGCGGGGCTATCTTATTATCTTTAATTGAACTGCGAGAAAGTTACCTTCTCTGAAATCTAAAGAAAACAAGCTTTTTCACAGTGCTTATCCCATACTAGGTTTTTGGGTAATCACGAATGAACTAAAAGTAGAAATCTCTGCTTCAATTTCTAGTTACTAAAAGTGCACCGGCGCGAGCTATATAGACCAATACTCCCTATTCCATGAAGTAAAATATTGTGATTTTGGAGTAGCAATTTGAGAAATCTGATTTTAATTTTAGTTCAAAAAAGGCCAAGTGAGTGGCATACATTCGTGGCTGCGATATTACTTGCTCGAACGGAACGCATCGCAGCAGTTGTATTATCTCGGCTTCAGCACTAGACGAGGTGTGAGTAATGCAATTTGTTTTGTACCACCTTCTAAGCAAGCTAAGTCAAACGATGCAACAGAAGAAAGTGGCTGACGATATCTTGAAATGATATCTAATTGGATATCACTTCACTATATCACCATATATATCTTCACCATATATCTTTAGTTTCAAGCTAAATTTCAGGTTAAAAGGAGAAAACAGTGAAAAAGAGAAAGTAGTGGACATCTGAGAAAGGAAGAAAAGAAGGGAAGAGCGGAGCACTGTCTTAACTCTTTGAGCTGGACACAATTTGGAGTGCTAAATCATTACGAAATTTGAGAAGCAAAATTCTTAAAAACGTATCAGTTTGAACTTTAGGATGTTATGGCTACAGTGAAATACACCTGGAAAAAATATTTGAAGCCGAGCGGGTCATTTTTCATCGGGAGCAGTCCGGAGTTCGAAATGGCGCTCGACACGCTTTGCTTCCTCACCTCTCGGCCCCGTGGCCCATGCAAAGTACGTAACCTACTAAGAATTTGATTAAACAAATCAAATTTTTCTTAACTGAAGGAGCATCGTGCATGGCAAGTGAGCGTAAACGGAATTAAAATCTGATGAGGGCGTTGTTTGATCTGGCAACATGGAGTAGATGCT